GGATATTACTTCGACACACTGTTCAACTATGTCCTCAACTTGTGCTCTACACTCTCACTGTCCCAACTATAAACCGCTTTTAAGTTTATAATTGGTTGTGACATCATTGTGTTCCGTGACTGTCATTGGCTGAACTTATGATTGGTTGTAACGTCATCGTGCCTCCGTGATTGTCATTGGTTGAACTTACGATTGGGTGCCACGTCTTCTGGGTATTGTTATTGTTGAACTTATGGGAAGAAGTGTGATGTCATCGTTGCGATTCTATTGGTTGAACTTGTGAAGAGGTGTGATCGTCATTATGTTTCCCATGATTCTGATTGCATAATCGTGAAAAGATGACATTATCGTGCCTACATGAAATAACACACATACAGAGAGAGAGAGAGAGAGAGAGAGAGAGAGAGAGAGAGAGAGAGAGTTTGCAGGTAAGGTCCCACTTAGACTAAAACACATGTGTAAATTTTCCCCTCATGTTGTTTTTAATTTGGGGTCCAACGTTTTGAGTAGTTTAATTTTAGGATTTTTTATTTATTTTTATTTTATTTTTATTTTTTTGATGTGTTTAGGACCAGGCTGAGCGTTGTGGTTAATGTTTATTGTGTTTGTTTTTTGTTTGTTTTATGCTCTGATAGTGTTATATTGTGTTTGTTTTTTTAATGCTGTTTTTTAATTATTTGAATATATTAGTGGGGTTTTTTAACTAATGGTTCACTACTCTGATCTGGTGATACTTTTGTGATATTATTATTATTATTATTATTATTATTATTATTATTATATTATTTATTATTATTATTATTAACACACTCCATTCACCTCAAATTCATTAACACACACAATACTTGACTCTTTCCCATCAAAGGTGTGTGTACGAATTTTTTCTACTTATTGATTTACGTTTAATTACTGAATGTCCCGTTAGGGTGAATTCTACAATAGTTAGGTTAGGTTAGGTTATAATGTGCTGTTTATAAGCACTGAGACTACTTGAGGGGCGGATTACTCTGTAGCAACAGTTAAAGGACTTAATACTGATTGTGTATGAAGGAGGGTAAAGGTTGGTTAGGGTAAAGTGGGTTGGGGTAAAGGGGTTGGTTAGGGGTAAAGGGGTTTGGTAGGAAGGGAATTGGTTAGAGGGGTAAAGGGTGTTGGTTAGGGGTAAGTGTTGAGGGGTAAAGGGGTGTTGGTTAGGGTGAAGGGTGTTGGTTAGGTAAGGGAGTTGTTAGGCAAGGGTGTTGGTTAGTGGAGCTGGTTAGTAAAGGGGGGTTGATAGTGCATTAGTGTTTACTGAGGAGCACGGGCAGAATGGGGATAGGACCTAGATGATCGGAAGAAAACTGATGGAAAACTCAATGAAATTTTTGTTTTGTGTTTACCCTTCCCCTCTCCTCCTCTCCTCCTCACTCCCCTCACACACTTCCTCTCCTCCTCCTCCCCCTGACCTCCTTCCCTTCCTCTCACTTTGTCTCACTTCCTCCTCTCATTTTTTTTCATCTCCTTCTCTTCTACTTTCATTTCTGTCCCTCTACATCCGCTTAAGCAGTGCAACCTCTCCTTTCTTCTCCCCTCCCTCCTCCTCTTTCCTTCCTTTCTTTCCTTTTCTTTATCTTCCTGTCATTTTTAGTTCATATCATTATTTTTTTCTCTTACAGTGCCTCAAGCTTGTAGTTACTAACGAGCGTAGGAAATGAGGTATCAATCGATCATAGGAGAGAGGAGAGAGAGAGAGAGAGAGAGAGAGAGAGAGAGAGAGGCTGGTTTTCATTATGTGGGTGATGTAAAGTTGGTACATGAATAGTTTGTTGATTTAACCCCTTGAGTACAATGATTTAACCCCTTGAGTACAATGATAACCTTAGTAATTCCAGGTATTAGCTTTATTGATCAACCACCACGTGTCGTATCCAGGTATTAGGGCTTTGACATCACCTAATCACGTCATATCGTGGTATTAGCCTGTGACATCAACCACTCACGTCATATCCAGGTATTAGTTTTGACATCAACCAATCACGTGTCATATCGTAGTATTAGCTCTTGACATCAACCAATCACGTGTCATATCGTGGTATTAGTTTTGACATCAACCAATCACGTGTCATATCGTGGTATAGCTTTTGCTATTATCCTCTGAAATAACGATAGAGGCATTCTCCCAGACCGGCCACCCGCTGATTTTGAGAATGAATCTGTGTCGTATTTATATATTTGTTTTGTATCTGTGTGTGTGTGTGTGTGTGTGTGTGTGTGTGTCTCTGTCTGTCTAGGTTGGTTGGGATTGTGTTAGGGTTAGGTTAGGCAAAGGACCTAACAATTAGGAAGAAAAATGAGGAAATAGGAGAGAAATTGGATAAAGATGAGAAACCAAGGAAGTGAGAGTAAAGAGTCAAGAAGCTCTCCTCCTCCTTCCTCTTCCTCCCTCCCTCCCTCCTCTTTCCTCTCCTCCTTCCTCCCTGGACTCGTTCTCAAGGTCAAAAGACGAGGAGGAGAGTAGAAGAGGACTGAGGAGGACTTGACCTCGAGTAAACTTGATCTCTCCCTCCACCTTGAGGTAGTTGTGTCATCGTACCAAGGGGATTGTACGTGCTGTTGTATCGTACCAAGGTAAGAAGAGGGGTAGGAGGAAAGCGTGGTAGAAAAGAAGAGGAGAATAAGAAGTGGAGGGAGGGAGGAATGAAGAGAAGAAGAGGATGGGAAGAGAAGAAGATGAGGGGGAAGAGAAGAAGAGGATAGGTAGAGAAGAAGATGAGGGGGGAAAAGAAGATAGGGAAGAGAAGAAGTGGAGGGAAGAGAAGAAGATGAGGGGAAGAGAAGAAGATGAGGAAGAGAAGAAGGGAGGGAAGAGAAGAAGTGGGGGGAAGAGACGAAGAGGGAGAAGAAGGGGAGCAGTGAAGTGGAGAAAAAAGGTTGGGACTTGAAAAGGAAAGATGGTCGAGGATGAGGGGAAAACTGCTATTAAGGGGGAGACTAGGAGTAGGGAGGGAGAGGAGGTGAGACAGGGAGAAGGGAGGTGAGAAGGTTGGGAGATAAGAAGGGGAGAGAGGAGGGGGAAGGGTGAAGAGATCTTTTGTGTAACCAATCAGTGAATTTATCTTGTTGGTAGAACTCTCTTTCCCTGTGTGATATAACCTCCTCTCATATTATATAAATGAATAAAATATTCTGTATTACCTATAATTTATGATATTTAATTTTGGTTACAAAGTTAATAAAATGATTACAAAAAATATCTTTTCTCCCTAAAATTTATTAATAATTCAATATGAACAAATTATAAATAATTTTAAAGAATAGTAAATATACTTTTAACTTTGGGAAATTTATTGATGTGGTTCCAGTTTGAATGTGAGAGAGGAGAGAGAGAGAGAGAGAGGAGAGAGAGAGAGAGAGAGAGAGAGAGAGAGAGAGAGAGAGAGAGAGGGAGAGCTTAACAGTATTGATCCAACTGGTGTGAGAATATGTCGGTGTGTGTCAGGCACGGTGGTGGGTGGTTGTCAGCACGGTGGTGGGGTGGGGTGGTGGCGGGTCAGGCAAGGTGGTGGGTAGGTCAGGCACGGTGGTGGTAGGTCAGGCACGGTGGGTAGGTCAGGCACGGGTAGGTCAGCACATCGGTGGCAAGGGGGGATGACTGTGGTGGGTAGGAGGTTGGGCTGTCGGGTGGTGGGTTAGGTAGGGGGAAGGGAGGGGGAGGCTAGGTGTACATTACATAGGTGAATAGATGGGGATCGTTTAATGAGAGTAGAAGTGGAAAAATAGAGGAGGAGGAAGATGAGGAGGGGGAAGGAAGAAGAGGAGGAAGAAGGAAGAAGAGGGAGGTAGGAGGAGGGAGGAGGAGGAGGAGGGAGGAGGAGGAGGAGAGGAGGAGATGGAGGAGAAAGAGAGGAGGAGAGTGGTATGGTGATGAGTGAGATAGTATATACACACACACACACATATACACACACACACACACACACACATTGTTACACACACACACACACACACCCATCAAGTGAACTCACGAAAACAAAATCGACGTAACCAGTTTAGATGGACCGCTATACGATGATATGAACCATACATTAGGATACTGTCTTGAGAATTGTGTTCAGGAACGATACACTGATGGTCTATTGGATGTGTGTGTGTGTGTGTGTGTGTGTGTGTGTGTGTGTGTGTGTGTTTGTGTGTGTAATTACTGTAGGAGATAGCTATCTCCTTCAACTCCTACTGGGAATGTTGTCCTTGGAGGAGAGAGAGAGAGAGAGAGAGAGAGAGAGAGAGAGAGAGAGAGAGAGAGAGAGAGAGAGAGAGAGAGAGAGAGAGACTCTACTTACCTTTCACACCTGCCAGGTATTTAAACAGCTCATCATCAATGTACACCTGCCCTCTTCTAAACCACTTCCTTCCTTCACATCTCTCGTAATCATTGAACCTCCCTTCTCCTTTATCCTTTTCCTTCTATCCTTCCTCCTTTATCCCCTATTCTCCATCCTTCCTCCTTCCCATCTTCGAAATTTTACCTCTTTCTTATCCCTCAGCATCATTCAGCAGTGTTAGTGTGTGTGTGTGTGCGTTTTGCGTGTGTTATAGATGAACATGTGCTGCAGAACACCTCACTGGAGGAAAATATACATCACATGTGTTGAGTGATGGGGGAATTTTATGGTAAGACGTAGTGTGTTGGATAATAATTACTGCGGCGTGAGGAAGATGGAACGGTGTGTGTGTGTGTGTGTGTGTGTGTGTGTGTGTGTGTGTGTGTGTGTGTGTGTGTGTGTGTGTGTGTGTGTGTGTGTGTGTGTGTGTGTGTGTGTGTGTGTGTGTGTGTGTGTGTGTGTGTGTGTGTGTGTGTGTGTGTGTGTGTGTGTGTGTGTGTGTGTGTGTGTGTGTGTGTGTGTGTGTCAATTCCTAATAATGTGTTTTGTGAGTTATGTTTTAGGGATGTGTTTATATTCTTCTTCTCTTCTTCGCTTCTTCTCTTTCTTCTTCTCCTCTCCTCTCCTCCTCCTCCTCTCCTCTCTCACCAGATGTATTGTACCACATTAAGATGAACACCTATATTAAGCGTGTTGTTCTTTGCTTTCCAGGGAGCGTAAGATGTCGAGTAACGCCGCCCAAGACTGAACTCCTTGATCCTGCCGTGGGCGTGGTTGTGGCGATGGCTGGAGCTGACAGCAGCGGTTTGCGGCGGGGGCGTTCCCTGGGTGGGGGCGGCCCTGGGGAGGGAGCAGGGGTCAGGACACCTCCCACTACGCCCAAGAAAGTCGGAGGCAAGATGCTGGCGGTAAAGATCCTCATGCTTGATGACACCTACACACTCTTCCAGATACAGGTGAGTGTAGTGATCCTGTGTAGCTTAATTACAGGTGCGTAGTGGCCCTGTGTAGCTTAGTTACAGGTGTGTAGTGCCCGTGTGTAGGTTTAATTACAGGTGATTGTAGTGGCCCTGTGTAGGTTTAATTACAGGTGTAGTGGCCCTGTGTGGTTATTACATGTGGGTGTAGTGGCCCTGTGTAGGTTTAATTACAGGTGTGTAGTGGTCCTGTGGTGGGTTAATTACAGGTGGGTGTAGTGGCCCTGTGTAGATTTCATTACAGGTGAGTGTTGTCGTCGAAGCACTGTACAGGTGAGCGGAATTACCTGTCCATTATCTACCTGAGAATTACTTGGATTACGTTTTCAATTGGATTAGATTCTCACAATACGCGACTTGTAGTATAAAAATAAATAGGATGAGACTCGGATTCTCTGCTGGGATTGGCCGGGTCAGGTGCAGCTGGAGTCAATTAATCTTGGTTCATGAGAGAGAGAGAGAGAGAGAGAGAGAGAGAGAGAGAGAGAGAGAGAGAGAGAGAGTGAGTATGTGTGTTTTGACGTGAGGTGGAGGGTTATGATGGTGGACGGATGGGCGTGGTAGGGGGAGGGTGAGCGTGTTCGTGTGTGGGCGTGGTGGTGTTGATGGGTGGACGTGATGGTGTTGATGGGTGGGTGTGGTGGTGTTGGAGGGTGGGTGTGGTGGAGGGTGAGGTGGGCGGTTATTATACAGTGTGGTGGGCGTAGTTATTATACTGTGTGGTGGGCGTACTTATCATACAGTGTGGTGGGCGTAGTTATTATACAGTGTGGTGGGCGTGGTTATCATACTGTGCGGTGGGCGTGGTCACTACACACTATGGTGGGCGTGGTGTTGTGTCAGGTAGGCAGGTCCAGGAAGCAGTTGTGAAGTTGATTACAGGTGATGGGCGTCAAGCGTAGTGAAGATGGGCGTATTTTTGGGGGTCTATGAGGCGTTAATGGTGAATAAATGAATAGTTAATGAAGTGGATGATGAGATACCTGGTGGGTGTAGTGTTGGGTGAATGGATCTCTCTCTCCATTGTTGAGGTAGGTTAGTATTGTAAACAGTAAACAAACTATGCATCAGTGTAAGAGAGGTACCTCTTTAGGCTTTGTCCTCCTGCTGGGACCACCCTCCCCCACGTAACCTTGTCCTCCCACTGATAGATTTCCCACGTAGCGTTGTCCTCCGCTGATAGATTTTCCCTCCCCACTTAGCGTTGTCCTCCTGCTGATAGATTCTTCTCCCACCCACGTAGCTTGTCCTCCCGCTGATGTGTGTGTGTGTGCAGCCGTGCTGCTGGCCATTGTGTGGGAGGGGCAGTCTGCCTCCCACCTCGTTTGCCAATATGTCCTTTCTCCTCCTCTCCCTCTACTCTCCATACCCTCTCCATATTTCTTCTCCTCTATCTTTCCCTACTCCTCTCCTTCTCCTCCTCTTCTCCTCTCCCCTTCTCCCCTCCCTGACCGACGGCTACTTGATGATTAATAACGTTGTGGAGTTATTGGTTGACCAAGCGTGTGTGTGTGTGTGTGTGTGTGTGTGTGTGTGTGTGTGTGTGTGTGTGTGTGTGTGTGTGTGTGTGTGTGTGTGTGTGTGTGTGTTGAATACAGGGTGGCACCAGGAGGGGGGGGGGTGGAGTTAGTGCCTTAAGGGGCGCGGTACGGGCTGTTGGTCACCGTCAAGGGGCCAGTGTAGTAGAGTGCCAGCATGTGACCCCTTGGATGTGTATGACCCTGGATGTGGGTATGACCCCGGGATGTGTGTGTATGACCCCGGGATGTGTAGGACTTCTGGGATGTGTATGACCCCACCCGAATGTGTAGGACTTGGGATGTAACTTAGGTGTGTATGATATCCAGGATATGTATGACCTCCAGGATGTGTGTATGACCCCCCAGGATGTGTAGTAGCTCTGGGATGTGTATGACCCCAGGATGTGTATGATCCCAGATGTGTATGACCACCCGGGATGTGTGTATGACCCAGGATGTGTAGTACCTCTGGGATGTGTATGACCCCAGGATGTGTATGTTCCAGATGTGTATGACCCCCAGGATGTGTATTACCCCGGAAGACATTTTGTGATAGTGGTGTGGTACTGGGGATGACCTCTAATAGGGGTCATGGCACTCTGAATTGACCTCTAGTGATGTGGTGTACCTGGTAACCGCTGGTATTACTGTGGATCTCGGGGGATTTTGGCTCTGGTGATATCATGGCACCCTGGGTCAACTTGTGCTGTGTTGTGCCATACCAAATTGATCCTGAGTGACGTCGTGGCACTTTGGGGGTAATTACTCTAGGGTCGTGGCCATTGGGATCACCTCTTAATTGTGTTGTGGAATGATAGGCCTAAATCTTGCTGGTTTCTGCTGGCCTACCTGTGGTTTGGTTGTGGCACTGTTGGCCTGTCTCTTATTCTGTGGCACTGTTAGCCTGTCTCTGTTAGTCTGTGGCACTGGTGGTTCACGTCTGGTTGTCCATGGCACTGCTGGCCTGACACTAGCGGGCCACAACTCACTCAGTTACCAGGATGAGCTGCGCCTGGTGATCTGCACGGAGCAGCAGCAGCCGTGAAGACGTATCGGGTGTCTCTGAGCCCTCTCGCGTTACAGCAGGGGTAAGTGCCACTGTGCAGCCTCACCACCGTCTCGGCTGAGGTCTTCGTCATCCTCATCTTGGCCGCGAGAGTTCTCATTCAAGTTTCAACAGAGAGAACTATACGCAAGACTGACCGAGAGAACCATATGTAAGACTGACAGAGAGAACCGTATGCAAAACTGACCGAGAGAACCGTACGTAAGACTGACCGAGAGAACTGTACGCAAGACTGACTGAGAGAACCGTGCACAAGACTGACAGAGAGAACTTCCACACCAGAGCCACGACCGAGAACTTATTCCTCTGCGCTAATGCCGAAAGTTCCAGTGTCCAACCTCGACCGAGAAGTGATTAACATAACTAATTATTCCTCATGCCAGAGACGACACCACTCACCTAACCTAACCTAACCTGACGTGACATTTGGTGGTTCAGCCCAAGACCTGCCTGCTGGGGATGGTCAGCTGAGGAAGGCGACTGTGTGTGTGGGGTGTACGTCTGTGTGAGGTAGATGTGTAATGTCTGCGGGAGAGGGAGGTGTATATTCTACCTCCCTACCCTTCCTACTCCTCCTCCCCTCCCTCCCTCCCTACCCTCCCTCCCTCCCCCTCTACCCTCCCTCCCCTACCCCACCCTCCCTATACCTCCCTGTTGACTGGTTTCTATAGCTTGTCTTTTTTCGTAATAATGACTTATGACGTGGGACGAATATTTTTTAATTCCTTCCTGCAGGTGATCTGGAGACGAGCTGAGATATTTAATTTAGAGGCTATGCGCGCGCGTGTGTGTGTGTGTGTGTGTGTGTGTGTGTGTGTGTGTGTGTGTGTGTGTGTGTGTGTGTGTGTGTGTGTTTTAAGACCATTCTCCCATTTGGTGTTTTAATATTTGTGTGTGTGTGTAGTAGGGCGACTGGTGAGCTACAATGTGATTTGTTTTATGTCAGTGTGATTCAAGGTGAGATTAGGTTAGATTAGGTTAGGTAGGTTAGTTGGTTAGTTAGGTTAGTTAGGTTAGGTTAGGTTAGGTTAGGTTAGGTTAGTTGGTTGAGGTTGGGAGGGGGAAGGAAGGGTGAGTTGGGCGGCCTTCACCGTCTTGTCTAGTCAGGTGGAGTGAATAGAAGGCGTGGGGGACTGTCAGTTGATGTGCAGTCGTGCAGGTGCTGGCGGGTGGGCTGGTATGGTGGAGGGAGGTGGGTGAGGTGGGAGGGTGGGTGGGTGAGGTGGGGGGGTGGGTGGGTGAGGTGGTGGGAGGGTGGGTGAGGTGAAGGGAGGTGGGTGGTGGAGGGGAGGGTGGGTGGGTGAGGGTGGTGGGAGGGTGGGTGGGGTGGAGGGTGGGTGGGTGAGGTGGTGGGAGGGTGGGTGGGGTGGTGGGTGGGTGGGTGAGGTGGTGGGGGGTGGGAGAGGGTGGAGGGGGAGGTGTTCACCTGGCCACTCACCTGTCCTGGGAAAAGATCAGGTGGCTCGTAGTCAACACAGGTGGGGCAAGGGACGCAGGCAGCCTCCCCCCCACCGCGTGTAAAACCATAGTGTAGGAATGGTTAGTTTAGTTTGATTGGGTTTAGGTTAGGTTAGGTTAGGTTAGGTTAGGTTAGGTTAGGTTAGGTTGGTTAGACGCTCTTTTGGTTGTGATACATAGTGTGTGGGTGATGGGGTCATGTGTGTGCTGTACCTATTGTCCCTGTAAGCTGTGCTTCTCTCTCTTTTTTTCTCACCAGGATCTCGAGGCCTATGTGAGATACTATAACATTCCACAGAGACACGTGGAACGCACGCACACACACACACACACACACACACACACACACACACAGAAAGAGAGAGAGAGAGATGAGGAGAGAGATAGAGAGAGAGAGAGAGTTAAAGGTGATTTCTCTTGTACTGAATAAACTTTGCCCTTACACCTCCCTCATACTGCCTTACACCACCTTACTCTCCCCATACTGCCTTACACCACCTTACACCTCCCTCATACTGCCTTACCGGCTAACTCCCCCATACTGCCTTACACCCTTACTCTCCCCATACTGCCTTACACCACCTCTCCCCCATACTGCCTTACACCACCTTACACCTCCTCATACTGCCTTACAGCTAACTCTCTCCTCCCTACTGCCTTACACCACCTTACTCTCCCTCATACTGCCTTACACAGCCTAACTCTCCCCATACTGCCTTACACCCTCTCTCCCTTTCTGCCACACCACCTTACTTCCCCCCTGCCTCACACCACCTTACCTCCCCCATACTGCCTTACACCACCTTACTCCCCCCCATACTGCCACCACCTTACACCTCCCTCATACTGCCTTATACCACCTTACTTCCCTCATACTGCCTTACACCACCTACTCTCCCCCATACTGCCTTACACCACCTTACACCTCCCCATAC